ATTTCTTTGGTCTTGTTGTTGCTTTAACCTCATTGTTTATATATATATATATATATATATATTTCTTTTAATTCTTTTCTTGCATTTGTTTATATTTATTTATTTATTTACTCTGAGGGTTAAACACGTCTGAAAAGCGTTTGCTTCTGCACGATAAACAAACAAAACCGCAAAAAAAGAAGAGAAAATTGTCCCCGTAACAGAATTAGGGTTTAGGGTTTAGGGTTTAGGGTTGTTTGGGGTGTAAATAAATGAGAGTCGGGGTGTACGTACACCTAAATAACCTACTCAGTAAGGTTTAGAAGAAGAGACTCAGAAGAAAGCATTACTTTATTTGCCGACCGAGCAACGGTCTGCGCTACTTCTCTCGCAGCGTCAATGCGTCGCAACTCGAGAAAAGCAGGGTTTGTCTTCACTGCGTTTCCTATCTAAACAAACAAACATATAATAAACATATAAAAAATATATATATATATTTATATATATATATATATTTATGTATCTATGCATTTGTATATATATACATCCATATATATACTTGTGGGTATATATACATAAACGCATATATATATATATATATACATCAGCAAGCAAAAAGCAACAGACGCAGCAACAGCAACAGCAGCAACGGCAACAGCAGCAGCATCAGCAGCAGCAACAGCAGCAGCAACAGCAGCAGGAGTAGTATTGGTGAGGGTGAATTAATGAGACAGACAAGTTTAGCAGCTTCTGCTTCTCCTTGTGCTCTGATAATAGTACTCTTCTTCTCCTCGAGAGCTTTTAATACAACATATTTACCCCGCTCTGCTTGCTGCTGCGCAACTTGCTTGGCTTCGACTGCTCGTTCGTACTCAGGTGAGAAGCTTAAGTGCGTCTGAAAGAAAAAGAAAATAAAGAAAATAAAGAAAAAGAATTATAAACAAAGAAATGTTTAAAAAAGATATATTGGGCTTCACTTCTTTATATACATAAACAAATAAAAACAGAAAAATTATCTGTTTGTTTGTTTCTTATCCGTACTCGTCTTTAATGAGAAGAAACAGAAACTAATTTAAATATATAATATTAATTAAGATAATAAATAATAAATAATAGTAATAATAACAATAAATAATAAATAATTAATAATTAATAATATTTTAAAGGCTTACAACAGAAACATCATCATCAAGAAGAATATTAAAGCCCCGCAAACAAAATATAAAGATAATAAATAATAAACAATAATAAATAATAAACAATAATAAATAATAAATGATAATAAATAATAAATAATAAATAATAATAAATAATAAATAATAATAATAGTAAATACTTACTAGAGAAACATCATCAAGAAGAATATTAAAATCCTTAGCTCTTTTAACGAGTTGGTCGCGGACTTGTTTGCTGACAATTTCTCTTTGTGTAATTAATTGACTTGCATTAAACTGAGCAACTACAGACTTTAAAACCTCGTTAATAATTGAAGGTAAGACCTTTTCGTCGTACTCCATGCCCAGCTGTCTGTACACCTCAGGTAAACGACGCTCATCTGGCCTCGATAAAACTCTGCATGTTATATTAACCATTTGTAAATCTGCATGCACATAATATACATATACATATATATATATTATATATTATATTATATATATTATAACTACTAGCATAATATATATATATATATATATTATATATATATTATAACTACTAGC